TGAAATGGCTGGTAAGACAGCCCAGGAACCTCACTCATTCATGGTGGAACTTGAGCAAAACATTCATGTGCTGAAGTGTCAGTCGTGAGATCCATACATACCTACTACATGGGCATTTGAGAGAATAGTTACAGACTAAATTCTAAGAGTAACTTTTAACTTAACTGAAATACCAGGCTATTATTTGATGAGTAAATTGGATAACAGCTGCTTGATCGATTTTGTAGCAGTCACTTATTCTAAGACAGAAATGAAATCTGCTTTCTTTTGCATAAATACTTGCTCATTTCCTTTTAAAAGACATCTCACAGGAGCATGTTTGAAGTGCCTTTTCTGTGAGCCTGAGGTCTGCTATTTGATGGTTACTGAGCTTTGTCTTTCTAGATATACCCAGCAGTAAAATGTGGAAACTGGTTCCATGTGCTTTGTGTAGCTGCTATCTTTGTCAATTTGTAGTAACATGGCTGTCAAGCAAAAAATGTTATTTTATAATTTGAACTTCTGGTTCATGGAAAAGAAACAATACTGAAAAGTACCTTTCAACTGCTACATATCAATAGGACATTTGGGAAAGATCTATCCACTTCCCACCTTAACTCTAGTTTTAGCTAACCAGATGCTAGTGTGTATTTTGGGACATGATGTCTGGCACTTAAAGGATTAAAAGAAACCAGAACTTTACAATGAAAAACTGGCCTGTGTAGTCTGGATTGGAAATGAACAGCATTTACATTGACTTCAGAAGAAAAATGTGAGCTTGAGTGGCCTGGTTGGATGACCCTGAGAGAACTAAAAGCTATTTACGGAATTGAGAGATTAAAATGCAGACTGTACTATTGTTAAAATAGCATTTATTTGCCTTTAGCTGCTCTTGAGTACAGACCCGTAATCATGCAGGTACTTACTTTCCCTTTATAACAATTTGGATTTCATGGAGCTGTATGAGAGAGAAAAGTATATCCAGCCTGCTGAGTTATCCATGCATGACAGCAGTCTTCACCTATGGAAACCCCTAGATACTGTACCTGCTAACCATTCTTCACCATTTTCCTTCCTAATGGGTGAGTGGCAGCTGGAATGCTTGTCAATTTACCCAGATCTGAAACTCTGTATTTTGAAGGAATTATATATTTTTTTTTTACAAGGGAACTTAAATCCTGCTTTGCCAGCCATGTGAGATTTCTACAGGCATGTTCTGTCTAGAGATGGCTTTCAAACTGGAATGACTGGGAAGTGCATTGCTGTCTTGAGCAAGTGTTTTACTTGTACATTATACAAACGCTATATAAAAATCTGCATAAACCTTTTGAGATCTATTCCATCACCATCCTGTGCTTGAAAGCTTGTATGTTACTGAACCGGAATTGAATAACAGTGAAAGGATTTGGCTAGATGAAAGCATGGTACACAATGCTTCCTGCCACCACGTCCTCCCTTTGCCAGGGCTTGCTGACTTCCTTAAGCGCACATTCAGGAGTTGGAACATGGTGACCTTATTCCTGGGCACTAAGCCACACAGATGGAGGGAGGCCAGCCTCTACCCATGAAGAGTCTGTGTAATGTGCAGCCTCTGTTGCCCAAGCAGTTTCTGTTGGACACAGTACACAGTCCAACTCTCACAAAGACAATTTAGTGCCTGGGTAGGTGGTCCCTAATCTGTCTAATTTGTTGTCATGTAGCCAGTGTGAGTTAAAATGATTCAGCAATTGTCATGGATCCTGCTGAATGTGCTGGATGCATGATGGATCTGCTGACCCTGCTGCCATAACTTTCACTGCACTTACTCAAATACCCATGCTACAGTAAATTTTGTGCCTACCACAGCCTCTTCTGAATTTCCTTCTAGCATCCCTGTAAATAACTGATTCTGTTGAATTACAGAATTTTCTGTATATGTTCCTAGATTCTTGAATGCTTTTAATCAGCCTACAAAGAGTTCCAGGGAAGCAGGTTTTCCTAGAAAGTCGTCCATTTGCTGAGGGACTATTTCTACTCATGCAAACATCTGTGACAACTATTCTAATATCTTTGATCTTTCTTTAATAACACTTGCCTTCTGGCAGGAAAAAAGATTTAAAGTGTATCTTATTCAATTCCAAAATTATTTGTGTATTTTTCCTTTAATTGGACTGCTAAGCGAAACTTCCCTACCCCTGAGCTTCTTGTGTTACTAGGTAGAAAGAGGAGTGGCATGGAAACTTTCCAGGTGGTCTGGGGAAAGAGATCTCCAGGCTGGAGGCTGTTCAACTGTGGGACATCAATCCCCTGGCAATTGAAAAACTTCAAAATAGCTATAAATGTGAGCAGCTTTAGTATACCATCCTTGATCCAGTCCAGCAATGTCCTCAGAAAACCAGTCTGTATGCCTCAGTATTTTCAGTCAGCGATCCCTGACAGAAATAGTATAGAAACGCATTGTTCTTGCTTCTGTCACGGAGTTAACCAGATCAATGTATGCCCGTGACAGGGGGCAGTAGGCCCCTGCCCCCCACTGTCCTGGCCCCACAAAATGGGAAGGAAGGAAGGGAGGAAAAAAACAGCGGCAACAATCTATGGAGGTAAACTTATTTTACTAACTATGATATCAGAATGCAAGATAACACAATATAATACAATCTAATTGAAATTGAGACTAATAAATTAAATAAGATAGAAGAGAGAGTTCCTGAGACCGAGTCAAACCTGAAAAGCTTGGAACGGCTAGGAAAGCACCCTCCAGCACCCACTGCCAGGCAGTAAGAGACTGCCCCACCTGGAAGGGCCAGATCGCATGACTTCCCTAATGTATAGGGGTAGGTACCTGGAATTGGAGCATTAACGCTTTAATTCCAGTACACTACATGATGTTTTGATGCGGAATACTGAAAACCAAAAAAAAAATCATAAAACCATGACAGCTTCCTTTATACTTCTGCATCTGTACTTCTAAGAACCTATGGATCATCACAGTCTAGTGGAGATCCCTGAACTGTATGAACAAACAGCAAACAGCATTTCAGTCTTAGACAAAATTCTAAGTTTCTCTCTGCCTCCTCTGCTCCATAGGCTAAGATGCAATCATTGTGCATTATTACTTAGGGCATTTAGCTAAATTCTCTTTAGACAGATGCATTTTAGTTAATAAAGAGAAAAATCTGACTCCCACCCTCAAGTGAGTTCCAAATCACAGAAGCAGCTTCTACTTCCTGAGGCTCTGGGAAACAGCACAGGAACTCTGCAAGGATTGGATTCTTTTGGATACATGACAAGATATGTTCTGAATAACTTAAGTTCAGATTGCTGTTCTCAGCTGTAAAGCAGACTGGTACCTCTCATTTGGCAAAAAAAAAAGAATGAAAATAAGCTCTCTGATGGATTCACTGAGAAATTCCATTCAGTACAGTTGTACTGTCTGAAGAAGCAGTAACTGAATGTTCGGGACACAAACTCTCTCAAACTTCCTGTTGGGGGCAAAAAAAAAAAAAGGGAAAAAACCACTACTGAAAATAAGACACTTTACTGACTTGTTCAAAGCGAAGCAAAGGTGTATCACAGTTGCATGTACTACAGTATGAGACAGCTTGTCTAACAACTCACTGGTTTCATTGTTCTGTTTTAACAGATCTGATTTGCTGTTAAACTGATCCCTACTGTAAGGCAGAAATTCTGTTATAGTCATTTTAGAATCATTCACTGAAGGAACTCAGTACCCAAGTCCCTGTGCTTATGGGTTTATGACAGCAGCTTTCATTCATATTTTCTTTAGAATGTTAACCATTTAAACTAGCATTTGTTTGACATTAAGAAAATTCTCATCATAAAGCTGATTATAGAGCTGGAAGAAATTCTTTACTGTGAGGGTGGTGAGACACTGGAACAGGTTGCCTAGCAAGGTTGTGGATGCCCCCAGGGGATCTACAGGGACCCCCTGTGGATCCCTAGGAGGCTTTCCTATCTATAGCAGGGGGGTTGGAACTACACGATCTTAATGGTCCTTTCTAACCCAAACCATTCTGTGAGTTATTTCTCAGCCCCCATAATTATGTCTCTTTAGCTTAATAATTTCTGTCATCTAAATCCATGTCTATTTATGTGCAGGCTCTTTAGTGCCCTGAGATATCTTGCCATTTCCCACTGTACTCAAAGAAGTGGTAGTGATTCATCTGTTGTGTGCAAGTGGTAATACAGGTAATAAGGTAATACAAAAACATGAGTGGGACACACACAGGCTTGCGCCTCCGGACTGGGGTTTTTCAGAAGAGCATGTTCTTTCTACTAGACCTAGCTGATACCGCATAGGCATTCAAATGCCTTAGTTAAAGTTGTTCTATGAGTTTTGTTAGAGAAAAATTCACTTCAGTGTAAGATTCAATTCAGTGTTTTGTCTCCAGTTCATGTGGCTAAATGAAACATTCAGGCCAAATATTTACCTTGACGCTTAAGAGGAGCTGAATGATCCAAAGTGGTAAGTGAAGATGTGCAGCTCAAAAGCAAATTTCTTATTTTCTATGTTGTTTTGTTATGTGTTTGGTGCCTTAACTCTTTATATTCTGATGTTAAATATACTGTACAAGAGGTACTTTAGTGGTTAAGCGTACTTTAATGATGTTACTGAACTAGCCTACAGGAACTGTAGCAACAACTGAAGCCTCAGTGGGAGAGTTCTCTTGCATTTTTAATTAATAATCCATTGATAAATTGGAGCTGAAGAATTTAAAGACAAAGTATAAAAATTTCAACTGTAGACTGAGACAGAGGGTATCAAATTTCCAACTTGAAAGTTTTGTGGCAGTAAGATAAAGGTACAATCTCTTCCATACTGTGTAAACAAAAATGAAAATGTAATTCAGCTGCCCAGTACTGCATGATCTCTACTATGACAAATCACATTAATTCTAAAGGACATTAATTGAATGTAGTCATCCACTGGGACAGGAGAGCTGAGATGAGTTAGAGTTGCAATAAATTAAAATTTAAGTCCAAAATAGCATATGGACTTATGCCTAATTCCTGCCTCTTACCTGAATCTAAAGTTCCAGTTGCCATAAGCCACTTTGCAGTTTACAAGGTGCAGCGCAGCTTCTACTTGAACACGTTTGCTTGCTGAACGCACCTGGTCCTGAGAGAGAGAGAGAGAAGGAAAGGCAGAATGTTCCAGTTTGAGGAAATTAAGTATAACAGACAGCAGGTTGGTGGGAAAGATGAACTGCCTTTTCCAAAGCCATAAATACCAGTCTACGGTAAAAAAAGGAGGTTTGTCTACTATGGTAAATCAGCAGCCTTAGTACACTAAGAGCAATGGGAGGTGGTATTGGTTTTTTTTCCTATAGTTTGCAAGAAGTTAGGTAAGAGGCTTAAGCTATCCATATCACACGCTAAAAGCTGCTGCAGATTGTACTTTTTTTCGACTTCTGTAAATAAGCAGGTAACAAAAAGAGGAGGTGGAGAAACAGGAAAAATCCAGTGAACAAATTCTATTTGCCAGCGCAACCGTATCCAGATGGGGAGACTGTTCCATGCAGTACAGTACACTAGTAGGGGAATACTAGCAACTTATTTGTACGATATTCTAGACAATTTGCTCTTGCACAGAACAGAATGGTAACAAGGGAAAGCAGATGCTGCTTCCAGAACTACATGTTGTAACGTACAAATTTCAGATCACTAATACTGGTATAACTATGACAAAGTAGGTTCATCTTACCATGAAAGCTGTTTTGAAATTCTATCCACTTGCATTAAGCTAACAGCGAATTTAATTATAACACTAATCTATAAGGGAGTAGAGCAGAAGGTAAGTTTTAGCTTTGTATTTCAAAGCTGCTGTGAATAAGTTGGTTAATAGGGTTCCACGGAAATAACTAGATGTACTTATCTGTGCTTGTTTCTATGTTCTTAGAAAAGCACAAGCTTCTGTAAGCATAACCATCACAAAGCTACTCAGGGTACTTTGTCATCTCAGCAGTGGACACTAACTGCATCTTAAGTCAGCAGGCACAAATAAATCAAGCTTAATTAGGAGGAACAGAACATCTTGGCAGGTTTGCTTTACTACTGGTACTGTTATAATTTAATGATCTATGCATATGGAAATGTGTGTATTCCTGCACTTCTAGTATAACTTACAGTTCTGCAAGAGCATCCTGCAAACTAAACAAGTAAAATGTATTCAGCATAGAGTATTATTCTTTCATTATTCCCACAAAGGGCTGTTTATAAGCAATTGCAGAGTGATAATGCTCGAAGCAGAATAGCTGTGGGCTGAAAAACAGTACTCAGAGCAGTACAGCTTTCAGAAATTTAGTGATATGAATTATGAAACTTCTAATTCACTGTATAGATTATTTCTTGCGTTTTCAAACTAGCATTGCTAGTTCCCTGCTCAAAGTAATGGGATAAAGTCAAGTGTAGTTCTCCAACAACACATTATTACATGGAAATGGACTGGAACAAAATTGAGGTTATACTGCTGAGAGCATGTTCTACCATACAGAGCCATTCTCTGGGCAATGCTGCATAATTTAAGAGTGGGTAAATATGCCTTCAGGGTCAACAGAACACAGAACAGATGTTTAAAATATAACAACCCAGAAGAAGCCTTGAAGTTTTGTCCACTCATGCACTTATTCTTCCCTGAAAAAAGGTACAGGTGCATTCAGATGTGTTAGTGAGGTATAGATCAGATATCACAAATGCCTTTAAGGATGAATGTTTTAAAGGCAGTCTCCTTTGGACAGAAAATAAAGGAAGTTGTCTCTGTCTTCCAATTCCAAAGTACAGCGTCTTATTTCTGATCCTAACCCTAAATCAATATTTATTGATCAAACTGACTAAGCTTTTTAGGTTGATGAGCTTTCTACAAAGCAATTCTGTTCTCCTCTTGAGCCTCTGCAGGGGCCAACGACTGGTGCTTAACTACTACTTCTACTGCAGAATGTCACCTGTCATCCAGCTGTCTCAGAACCTTCTGTGACACTTGCACTTCTAAGGGAGCAACACTGCTATGGGGGTAATTCTCAAAAGTGCTAAATACAGTGGAGCAAATCTCCGTGGGCTTTACACTTTCTAAAGTCCTGCCCAGGTCTTAGTGGCAAAGTTGAGCATGAAACCTGTACTGCCAAAAATACGTGCCCCTTAACAAGAAGGATATCTATGGGAAGGTGACTTTGAGGAAAGGCTGCTGTCTTCCACATTCAACTTACAAACTATAAAAAATAAAAATAATAATAAAAAAAAAAGGTTGAGCTTCCACCAAAAATTACCATCACTCTAATCAATTCAAACAACTGCTGTTAATTCAGGCTAAAATTTCTCCCGTGTAACCCAAACTACCACCAACAACCTCTGAAGAATTTTTAAACAGTCACCTGGAGGCAGTTCTCTACTAAGAGAGTGCATACTGCAAGGAAGACAGGTGATCTGGCAATGCAGTATGATGTTACTTTTCTAATGACAATTACTCCAGGACCAGGAAAAGACTGAGGCAGGGCTTTGGAGCAGCGTTTCATGCTCAGCAAGCTTGCAGAGGGAAGGAATGCAATTCTATAAATCACTTGTACTGTATTTCTGTTTCTAGACTTGAATGAATTTCACTTTTCCTTTGTGGGTCAGCATAGTAAACACTAAAGCAAAGGTCTATTTTTATAAATCTCTTTCACCAGTTGAGAGGGCTGACCTGCAGCCACCAGATGGACTAATTTATCCATAGAGGACAGAATGTTTATTTTTACACTAAGATTACTTACAGCATTGAATAGAACAAAATAAGGCCTTTGAACTATCTAAATAGTATCACCAAATTGCAGATGTATGTATGTATGGTGGACAGTTCCATCTTTCTTCCCAGTAAGTCTTTCAAAAGAAGTTACTCAGAAATAAACTTCCAAATGAAGTACAAGAGATCCCTGTGATCTAACAACAGGTAATTTACGAACCAGGAGAAAACTCAATAAAGTGAGCTAGATCTACTCACTAAAAAAACCTGCAAATGTAAAGTAAATGGAATGCTCTTGGGATATTGAGTTGCTTCCTCATGTGATGCTGTACCCGGTACATTTGGCTTCTGTGCTGTGTTTATATGCCAGCCACTGTTATAAACTGTACACAACACCTATATTTGCACTGTAATCTTAATTCATTCGCCACTGATTGTAACCCAACGCTACAGACTTCTCTGTATATAAAACCATAGCCATGTCCCACTTGCTTTCAATAGCATACAATAAAGGCTTATATCTCTGTAAACAAAAATTATGTCCTTACTACTTATTTGAGTTTTTTAATTTTATTTTTGTTTGCAGTGAGGAAACTGGCTTTAAGGTTTTTTGAAGCCTGGGAAGCCAAACCCATAGTCTGTTCTGTTTCAGTCAGCTAACAGGCACAGCAAAAGGTTAAGACAGGATTCCCAGGCTATTTAACAAAGCTGCATTTTGGATGATGGAAACATAAAGCATGTTTACAGCCTAACGAGCAGAATGCCATCCCTCACAAAGACTGCAACTGAATAAAGCACAGGGGAGAAAGGTCTGCATATGCATGCTGAGGCACAGATATTGTGCAAGGACTGCTGCACACAAATTCTGCTGGGGTGTGATAGCTGATGAAAGCAGTAACACAAGACTGAGAAGACTGTGAAGATACTAGCCAGAAATTGAAGTTTCACTTCAGAATAAAAGCTGGACATTTTCTAGCATTTCATTAATCACTAAAATGCGATGTCTGTTTTCTTAAAAGGTCAATTCTAGAATTTAAAAAAAAAAAACAAACAGCAAACCTCTCTCAAACTTTTACTGTATCCCACCCCCATCCCTTCATTCTATTTCCTAGATCATTAAATTCCTGGGGTCCCAGTTTGCCCTCTGAGGTCTGAAGCAAACCCAGGCCTCTTCTTTGTCCAGAGCCCCTGAGGGCACAACAGGATCCCTGGAGAACCATGTGATTGCTGTTGTTTCCTTGAGGCTGCAACTCACAGCCTCCTGGAACACACATGTCCAGTTGCCTGGAATTACAGAACATGCTTTTATTCTAGAAACTAACACTAGCCATTTTATCAGAAGCCCTTATCTTCTAAGTGGCTTTTTTTTCTGGTCTTTAATTCAACTTTTCAAACCTGACTGCAGAGATCATTAATCCAATTCAAAGGAGATCAACCCTGAAGAGTTTTAAAAAGCATTAGGAGCTGACTTCAGTCATGAGTGCTCTTAATAAAATGAGAAGTCTGGAAAGCCACAGCCTAGCATATATAGCAATGGAAATAAGAAGTGGTGTGTGACCTCTGCACTCAGCAAAGCAGTGTGCAGCCAGCTGAGCCTGCAGTTCTGAGGCAAACAGGTCAGTTATCCACATAAGAGGGAACGAACCTCTGTATCAGAACTGCCTATACCGTGCTTCCTTTCAATGCAGAGCTCCATCAAATATTTAGGAGGTATGATCCAAAGAAGAACTGGCTGTAGTGAAGAAAACCCCATTAACAGTTGGCTGAAATAGAGGTCCATTTTACCCTACATACTGCCATAATACTCTACCTATGTACACACAGTGTTAGCTAGCTTGTTAAGAGGTCATTCAGAAAGCTACCTCAGGATTAGCATCTCAGAGGTGCTGAGCAGACTGACAGCCCTTCAGCACTAGCCTGACAACTGCTGCTCAGTGCCAGCTAATGAAATGCACTGGGTGCGCTCCAGCAGCAAGCCGATGCCCTTTGGCATCCTAGGAATGAAACAAGGGGTAGATAAGAGTGGCACATGGCATGAGTTATATGACGCTGATTCTAGATCTATAAAGGAGAGTATTGCTCTTTCCTCATTCCTTGGCCTGACATCACTAGTCAAGGCAGCTACAGGGAGGCTGCTAGTTTATAACCCCTTGTATTACTACTGTTCCATCCACCCTGTGCCAAAACAAACCACACAACCACTTCAGTCCATCCAATTTTTCTCATCTTAGTGCCATGTCTTTATTGTTCCAACACCCAATGCCTTCAGCCTGCAGCTGAAGGCAAGCAGTGAGCTCTCTAAGAGGAATAGCCCTCACCAAGCTCAAGCGATTCCCACAGCTGCTTGACTGCACCAGCCCTGTCTTTTGCTGGCACAGCACTGAAGGGATCCCTGCAGAAGCAAC